TCGCCGTTCCCCGTTCTCCATTCCGCGTTCCCCGTTCCCTGTTACTAATTTTAGTAACGGGGGAAATCGAAACGTAACTGGTTAACCCTTATCATTACTTAATTGCTCTTTATCTCATCAGTAATAAACAGGAATTCATGACCTTGTTTATAGGAAAAAACAACGAATGATTGAACCGAAATGCACCCGAAATATAAACGTCTCCGAAATTGCCGACTATTATTTAATAATAAATCTCATTACTACGTGTTGAGTGGTCTTTAGTCCTTCGGTGAGAGACTCGGGAAGATCAACAAACTTGAAAATATGAGGTCAATTGTGCTATTATTTTTTTCACACGAATCATTTGAATTTAGAATAACAACTGGCATCTATGAGTAAAAAATTCCACTCCTTCAAGCCTCTCATCAAAACCTTGCTAACTCCAGATAATCACAGCAAGAGCAAGAAAGGCCTCACGCTCGTTTTGAATACCATCTAGCTTGTGGTCGTTTCTACTTTAATTGAAATAATGCCTTTTGTGCAATAGAGAACTTGACAATTCATCTTGAGACTGATTCTAGTAACATCCATTACATTACCAACACGTTTTCACACTAAAGATTCCCTGTCACTATAGAGCGAGAGGGTTGTTGTGGTGGAAACTTGCATCACTTGAACCGAACTGTGATAAGTTTCGTACTGAAGCATCCCTTGAACCGAAAATATAAGTTTCGTACTGAAGCTATGGACTATCCACATGCCGAATTCTCCATTCGTTTAGTCGCGACCATGTACTTGACAACAATCAACAATGTTTTCGCAGCAGGCCATGAGACATCACGGTGGTAATGAAGTCGCATATGGCGGCCTCGAATTCATCCTTGGTGCTGTGATAAGAAACCAAGAAGCTCTCAAATTTCGCGTCAAACTGTCGCAATCAGGTGAAAACACTTAATTCCATCCTTTCCACGCGTAAGTATTCACAACACCTTGTTCTTTCATGGCTCCAGTTCGATTGCGATCCGTAGCTTTCTTTTCTCCATCTTTGGTCAATCTTTCAACCATTTTCTCAATGTCGTCATCTTCCATCTCATGAACTTCTACCTTGGTTGTTCTGTTAATGGGCGCTTGTTTCCGTTCATTTCGATTTGTCCAGTCTGGTATGTACAGGCGATCGACCATCTGGTTAATTTCCCCTTCGGATAACGTTTGGTATCCCATAAGAAACTCTGGATTGCGCTCTTTAGGATGTGTTATTGTATCCCACGGTTTCTTCGCCATCTTTCCTCCACGAGCAAAAAGCGCGCAGAATCCGCTATGATTTCGTCTGAAATTTTAAAACCGCTTAAAAGCGTCACGTACTAAAAGAAAAAGTAAACAAAAACCCAAATTCAAGTACGAAGTGGGCCGGGAGCTTTACTTAATTTCCATAACAAAGTGATCAGACATGACAAGTCCAAATGACCTTTCTAGTCTTGTTTTTATTTCACTGCGTTGTAATGATCCTATTTATAAAACGAATTTAATCTGTTTGCTCTAGGGCTGGAGTACTGTTTAATTCAAATGCCACAGAAAATTGTCCACTTATCGAGTCTGAAAAGGGAAAAAGGATTAAAATGGTCTAGCTGAGCCACGAAATATTTTCAAAGTGAAATGTTTAATTATTTACAACTTGAGTAGTTTGAATTAGACGGTATCGTGTTACCTCTGCTATCTTATTAGCGATATTGTCGATATAAAGCAACAGAGATCAGCGAAATACATAAAAAAAATTTTAACACACCATCTGCTTTTCAAATATTTTTATGACAACAAGTGAAGACTTGAGAAGTTCGCAATAATAGGTGGTTTGCAACCAATCTCTAGAGACGCAGGTAACAATGGTGAAAGGAACAAATGCTGGTGGACGAACAAAAGAAGCTAATGAGATATCTATTGTTTACGTCCACCAACATGGCGGCGATGACGTAACGAGCAAACCACCTACACAAGAACTCAAGCAGTCACGCATTCTTGTTTCGTGATTGAAAGTGTCATGCTTCTTTTATGGACTTTCTTCCCCACAAAGTATAGCTTGATGATTGCAGCCATTCCAAGCATATGAATTCAGGGTAGCTCCCCATTCGTTTTTGAAACGATGCACTCGCTGAGTATCAGGTGTTTTCTCAAAGTTGGTTTCTTTGTGCGCCAACCTAGCAACCATTGCGTTGACGTCGTCACTAGACAATTCTCGTTTCTCGATCGCCGGCCGCGGTCGCCTTTTGCTTTCCTGTGGTGCTGTTTTCGGTCTACTTAATCGTTCGACCATGCTTTCTATTTCTTCCTCACTTAGTTTCTGGTATCCTAGTTCAAACGGCGGCTTAGTTATTGTTCCCCACGGTTGTGAAGTCATGATGTATATAAACAGCGTGCTCAGATAATTGGGTGAAAATTTTCGTATTCTGTCCTGTTGAAGCTGGTCTTCTCTTGACTTGATGACCAAAAATTCGCTTAAAATAGCATACTGAGGGATTGAAAAATCGAGAAATCCCACAAAAACGACGCAGAATTCTTTCCTGTTCAGTACAACTCTCAAAAACGTAGTTTCAAATGTTCGTGACTTCGAAATTGATTACAACGAAACGTTAATTAGTACCGAGTGCCTACTCGGTTGATTTACCCGATACATTACCGACTTGACAAGGTATGTTCAGCTTCAGAAATGCAACCAGAAATTACTTTTATTTGCTTTATAACGATGAAAAGCTAATTGGGCGATTTTATGCAAACAACTAACTTTTTGTGACAAGAGCAACAATCGGGGATGAATCAGGGGTTTCGTGAGAGCTGTTAATACTCATGGTTAACCACATAACGAAAACAAACAAGCGAGTATAAGAATGGGGAATTTAGATGTCTTAATTGGGATTGTAGTGACACGAATAACTCTGAATATTAATTGAAGCAGATGAGGGCACCATATCATGGTTTGGCTTGAAACGAAAGTGGTTCCTTGATATCAGTTTAGGGAAGATCAAAAGAGGTAGCCCTTATATTTTTATAGAGGCAAGACCGATACAACGTAGATAAGTTTTAAAAACGGAGCTCTATATTTCGGCTGGCCAAACCAGCCAAACCAACCTTCCGTTTTTATGACTTATCTACGTTGTATCGGTCTTGCCTCTATATTTATATTCGTTGTTTTGCGCCGATTAGGTCACTGCTGATCCAACGTACAAGAGTAGGATTATCGTCCACGGTTGCTTGCTGAACATTTCACACCTTATTATTATTTATTTATTCATACGTTTTCAGGTAATCCTGGAATATCTGAGATACATGTAGCAGTAAAACATATAAACGAAAGACCAATTCGAGGATGTGAAAAAGCATGCACTAAACCAAAAATTCATTGTCACAATTTTTTTGATAATCTTTGTAATTCTTCAAGTTGTTTATTCCGGCTTTTAAAGAAGAATGTAAACTCAGTAAGTAATGGCGTCGTATTTAAGCACTGTCTTGCCAACAGAATCTATGTCAAGTCATTAATGCTACTGAAACTTACCGTCTATTAACTATTTAACACGAGGCATGTTTGCTTTGTCACAGTTTTTACACTATTTCACGCAATCGTACGTGCATTATTTCTTCGTTGCGGCGATGTTCGATGAAAAAATAAAACGATGGTTCTCACGAAATCACTTCAGTAGCAGGCAAATTTTGGTACTCGCACTCAAATCGAATGGTATTCTAAATATCGTTCATGACCGGGGTTTTTATTTTTTGTTCACTCAATACCAGTTCCCATCAGCTCTTGTGATACGATTCTTTAGCAGTCTTCCGTCTATCCAAGCATAACTGTTGACGATCCCCATGACCTTTGCCGCTCCTATACGCTGCCTCTCAGGTGTTTTTTCTCTGTTCTTTTCAGTATTTGCCAGTCTCTCCAGCATTTCATCGATTTGCTCCTTGTTCAGCAGCTTTTCATTCGCTTCATTAGCTTTTTCCGTGTCGGCTGGTTTTGGTGCACTAAGTCTGGCGACAACAGCGTCCAGTTCATCTCTTGGTATGCTCGCTTTTTGCTTAAATTCGGGGTATTTTATGTAGCTCGTTCTGTTCCAAGACATTGTTATGAATGAATCTTTCAACTGTTAAAAAAATTTCAGGATAAGATCTCTTTCTTGTCGACAAAGCTTGTCGCCTGCGAGAGTATTAGGGCAAATACGTAAGAACCTAAGTCTTTTCAAGGTGAAATGAATCTAATTGTTCGCCACTAACAATAACATAAATATTTTTGAAAAACGCGGCAAACCAATACCGAAAGAAGTTAGAGGATTATAATACTCCGCCTAGTGTTTTGTTTATTTCTTATCTTTGTGCTCGTACGGAAAATAAAAGCTTCATTATACAGGTCACTGGACTTTTAATTAAAATCATTCATATGAAGAGCACCAACACAGGGAAACAAATATAATGAATAATTCTGTGTTGACTTTGTTTATTAATTCGTTAAGGGCCTGGTTACCAGTATCAATTCACCGAATCAATTACCTCTAACATAATTTAACACAACTCGTCCCTCATCAACAATCACGTTACAGAAATCTTGACTTCATAATCTAACTGTGAAATATAACATGAATCGTAACCTGAGCAAACTATGTAAAGAAGTCCACAGTAACATCCGAAAGAATAGGTGAGAAAATTCTATTCATTTCAACATTCTGCTTGTTTTTCTTATTGCAAAGGTTGTTCTGACCAGATAGAGTATTAGAGCTGTATATTACTCTCTGCTATTCTCTCTCGTGGCGGTGGTGATAAATTGACAGCTAAACGAGTCATAAGCCAAATATCAATAATTTAGGATTCATAAATTTATCCATAATCTGACACATTCAGCACTGAGTATATGAGTTCTAAGTTACTAATTTATTCAATTTGATAATTAACTTGTCTTCTTTTTATGTGACTCCCTCGAGATAAAACACCTCCAACTCATCAGGCTTGAAATATCGAGCTCCAGCAAGAATTGTGTATTGGTCCTTTTCATCACTAGGCACTGAGTAGTAGTTACCCTTCCCGAAGGATGTGGATGAACGAGCTCAAGCGTTACTATGGGCATTATTGCCAATATGGATGTCCCCATCACCACCAAATGTTGGACCTTGATCACCTGAGCACGTGCACTGATTGCATATGATGGATTTTTCACCATCCTCTTGTATGGTGCCAGTCCTTGTTGATATGAGAGAAAACTCTTTGGAAGTGGAACTGTATCCAGACCCGGCATTTGAAGGAAAAGCGCAGGTGTGAAAAGAAAAGAAAGAAAAAAAACAAGGGAATGAAGTGGAAACTTTATGTGAGTGAACACATTGCGAACAATTAAAGCAGCAACACCATAAAAAGCTAAACAGTTAAAATTTCTTATATCTCTAACTAGTAAAAGTGGTGTAATACATGCATAAGTTAAAGAAATTTCCTTTATCAAAGAACTATGGTTGGTTTAGTAGAAACATACAAATCATTTAATTTTTCGTAAACATCCTCAGCAAAAGTGAACCATATTTATTTCTTTGTGGACTTGGAAACACCAAAATTAAACACATGCTCTCTATGATAAAATTTTCTCACTCCAAGCAACGTCTGTATATCCTCCAAACACGAATGGACTTCTTCTGATAATAGTAATAGTGTATGGTTTCCAATCACAGAGATCGTGAAATGTACTTGCTTGCCCATCCATGCAAGGAGGCGCGGTAACAAAGCTTCCTAGACGAATTGATCCTAACCGCTGGCTCCAAAAAGTTCCTGAGTTATGGTAGAAGAAGTCCTTGATCTGGATGATGCTTGAATGAATTACCATTTCTTTAAAACAAGTATGGAGTAAAGTTATCCTTATACCGTTTTCATCACAGTTGAACTTTCAACCGTAAACATTAATATTAGCCTCCAAGGAAATCGAAAACAGTTTTAGACCAGACATTTAATAGTATTCACAACCGTGTAATGAAAATGTAAGGACACTGGCAAATGGAACTGAGCAAACTATTTTTGCAAAATAGCAGAGTAACTGTGAATTACTGTTTTCCACAAAAGCTTCAGCTAAATTGGCTTTTAGTGTTTTATTTGTTTGTACTGGCTGCTTATGAATGTCTTTTTTTACCTGGTTGTCGTTGGTTTTTATCTTTTTGTCTCAATCTGCTATCCTGAATCTTTTTATCATGTTTACCGGGTTTAATGACAGCAGCTAGATTGTTCTGCAGTTAAGGTACCATTTATCTAGAAGCGTCGTTCTCAAGATCCATTCAGCCAATCACCAGGTTTACAACTGAATGACAATTTCTTTCCTTCCAAAAATGATTCTCATGAATGAATCCTTGCTCAAGTTGTACGGCGGGGCAGACTCGGCGACCCTGAATTTAAATCAAGACGGGATTTGGAAAATACTGATAATTCCTTTTTTTCGTTAGGTATAGAGATGAAACAGTTGCACAGTTATCATTCCGACTAAGTAATTTTGGACCCAATGTGATCTAAGCTATCTAATTAAACAAATTGAAACTCAACTATGAATATGAACATTCTTTGGACCCGACTTGCATTACTGTTATCATCACTTTGGAGGAAGAATTGAGAAAATCAAAACTGAATGAATGACAACCGAGTCTCGGATTGGAACAATCACGCAAGCGAGCGAGGGGCGGAATGATAATTTCGCCCACCACATCTCCATTGGAGCCCGCAAATGCGCCTCAGTGCCTGACAGAGTGTTAAAAATGTTTAATATGATCAGTTTACGGGATCCTTGCATGAATGTTGTGCTCCACCCCAGTTGCCCGAAGGTAAACATGTTCTTATTACTAGAACAGTTAAAGGATATTGTGGATCGCAAATATATGACAGTGATTCACCAGTCCATTATCTTGAGCCATGTTTGTATCCATTTGATGAGAGTCTGGATCGCCACAATTTATCAAGGCATCAATTACCCAAACATAAAATGAAGAATAATTAGAAAGTAAGATATGAAAGTTAAGGGAACTTGTGGTGAAATATTTTTAAGGTCACTGCAAGAAAGGTTTTGTTTGCGTGACATTTAAGACTTCTGTATACTATTCATTTGAGACCTGATGACCTTCCGTGTGAAATATAAACTTTCTAATAGATGTTACTTCTTCCATCTTTACGGTTTTGGCCCAACTGTAATTTAACTTGTGTTTAGGGTTTAGTGAGACGGGAAACAACGAGAAAACAAAGGGAGGGCAGCTTTCAAGTTGCTGTGGTTTCCCGACGCTTTCTTTCGCGTCACTCTGCCCGAACGTATGTCATCGTTGCTATAAACTTATTCAATGTCAGTAGAACTGGCTAACTGTGAATCTTCAAGGATAGAAGTAGCATGACTGAGACAGCCAATACCACAGGCATCGTAACAGCAATCTCTTTAAAATCACCTTGGAGAAAAGGAAAATGTTTAGAATGGGAGAATAAAGAATTACATCAATTAAAAGATAAGGTAACAGACATTGCATGTAACAGATATCGATTATTTTTCTCTGTCTCTAGGCCGCAGTGATACAAGGATCCGTTACCACCAGAGACAACAAATTGATTGAAATATGGGCGATACAAACACACGAGCGAGACTTAATAGAAACTCGCTGGTGAAAAAATAGAACCTCACTTGCGAAACAAATATTGAAAACTGGCTGGCGAGAAATCATTTACCCGCTAGCAAGATTTTAATCACTCTCCAGAGCGAAGAAACTCGTTAGTGAGTAAAGAGAAACTCGCTAGCGAGAAAAAACGAACTCGCTAGTGAGAAAAAACGAACTCGCTAGCGAGAAAAAACGAACTCGCTAGCGAGAAAAAAGGAACTCGCTAGCGAAAAAAAAGCTAAGGAACTCGCTAGCGAGAAAAGAGGAGCTCGCCAGCGAGAAAATAGTACCTCTGGCGAGGAAATAGAAACTCACTAACAAGAGAATAAGAACTCGCTAGCGCGAAATATGAAACTCGCTAACGAGGAAAGAATAACTATCTGGCGAGAAATAGAAACACGCCAACGATAGAATGAAAAACTCGCTCTTGAGGATAAAGGAACTCAGAGAGCGACAAATATGAAACTCGCTCGCGAGAAAATATTAACTCTTTGGCGAGAAAATATTAACTCTTTGGCGAGAAAATAGAAACTCGCCAGCGAGAGAATTAAAAACTCGCCAGCGAGAGAATAAAACTCGCTAGCGAGCATACAGGAACTTGCTAGCGAGAAATATGAAACTCGCTAGCGATAAAATAAAAACTCTCTGGCGAGAAAATAGAAACTCGCCAGCGAGAAAATAATAAAAACTCGCTAGCGAGAATAAAGGACTGTTGTAGAAGGCTACTGATCAAACCGGCTGCATATAGTGAATCACTTATATTCAGAAATCAGCCTTCAATTCAGGTTTGTTAAAAGATTATAAAGTTTATAATCTCTTGGTTTTGTTTCAGACACAACTGGGACAGTTCCGGGCCATCTGCATTCTTCACAGATGCCCACGAGCTCAATTTCTGTTCGAGATAGCGAGATTCTGTACGTTTCCCGTATCCCATTCACAATCGATGGCATTCAACCTGGTCGAATTAAGTCACAAACGCAACTCGTCTGCCCTAGATGGAAAACCCTTTTCTAAGCTCCTAAAATCGACCTTTCTCTCTAAGATTTTGAATTTAGCTTGTTTCTGTTTTTGGCTTTTGCTTTTTGTTTTAACCGAATTTAACACTGCATACAGCCTCAACATTAACGTGGTTACGGAAACCTAAGGACCTGATTATATCATTGCTTTTATTAATACTGATGTATTATAATTACAAAATAGCGAAATAAACAAATAAACCGGTCAATATGGGAGAAAGGAATTTTTGGGAGTGATTATATGCATGGTTTTCAGGGGGAATGGAGGAGGGATCAGTCTTCGTCAACAGAGTATAAAAGAGGGGCTAAAGAAAACTGCGGACTACAATACTACAGAGACTTTGGGAAGGGTTAAGGACAACTTTCTCGTGACACAACCCCTCCCCTCTACCCGGTCCCCTTGCTACCTGCTTCAACGAGGTCAAAGCGCTGACACTGATCTTCGGTAATATTGTCAGAGCAACCTGCTTGCAGACAGCAGTAATAAACTCCAAAGTGAGCCTTGTCTAAGTTCGTGATGGTTAAGTAATTGCGGTTGGAACGTCCGTCCTGTGTAACATCATTGTAATGCTCATCCGTTGAAGAAACTGAAATATAAATTGAGAGAGAGTTATGCTGTGTGTAAATTTTTGTAGAAGAAAAAGTCAAACTGATTTGGTGACTGATTAATGAGGTGACTGATTTAGCTGAGTCGCTGACCAAACAGACTTAGTGTCTTAGAAATGATATATGATAGGACTGAGTGAGTGAGTGAGGAACCAGAAGTCAGTCAGACAGACAGACAGACAGACAGACAGACAGACCTACTGATTGACTGATTGACTGACTAACTTACTGACTTACCGACTGACTTACTAATTGATAGACATACTGCTTGATTGACTGACTCACTGACGGAATGCAAAACTGACGGGATTGAACACCTAGCGGAAAAGTATTTATGTCCAGCTCAAACTTACCTATGCAGGATTTAACTGTTTTGTTTCGCTCACTCTTAAACCTCCATTCCACTTTCAGAGGGTATCCTCTGGCACTACACTCCAAAGTTACGTTGTCTCCCAGCTTCGCCCTGACTGTTTTGTCATCTCTATTTTCAAACCACGGTGCAACTGGAGTAAAAGTAATTTCATAAACGATGATCATGATGATACAATAGGGAGCTTAAGATACAGACGTTTTCGGGGCGACAGCGACGTGACAACCCAGGTAAACTGGGTCAGAGGTTGCCGTTTTCGCGCCATAATTGAAGTTAAGATTCTGATGACGGCCGGCCTTTGCGACTTCTGCGAAGTTCGTCGAGTTTTGCTTTATAAATTGAGACTTTTTTGTCGTAGCATGGTTACGTTTAAAGAATTCCGCCACCTTCCCGTCCTTTACTACGACGCTAATCTTACTAGCGATGAAGAGTTCTTGGTTTTGTATGAAATATTTCCGTCTAAAAACTTTAATTTTCCAAACGAAAATCTCCATAGATTTGAGGTGTACGTTTTCGAGGTGCATCTACGAATTGATAAAGGGAATGGCAGCAAGCAAAAATTCCCTTTTATGTTAAGAATTCAAGTACTGTATGCGTGCATGCCCAAAACTTATCTCGACGATTTGGACTTCACTGTGTTGCCTCGGTCATTTTAACCTAAAGAGAAAACAAAAAGTCTCTTGAGTTGGCCAAGACATCGTGTAATGATTTGTGCGAAATGTGATAATGCAATCACTTTAATACAAGTGACAAAACTGGCAGTATATTAAATAAAACGAACAAGATCAACTCACGTTTTCACCACGACGGCAAACTCACTGATCTCACGTCGCCGACGTGAGGGCGACGGCGAGGCCGCATGCGCAGTCAATCTCGCCCCAATCTTAATCGGTCTCCACGTCGCCGTCGCCCCGAAAACGT